GCTATTATTACTGATATTGCAGAGGTTCTTCAGGTTGTGGAGTGCTATGTAAACACTTCTGGAATACATTAGATAGGAGATTATAAGGAAGGGGGAAGGATGGCTGGCATGCAGGATTAAGAGCTACTGCTCATGTCAAGCATGGCAGGGTTGAATGATCTGTTCCCATGTTGTAATTTCAATACAATTTTGAAAGTTATTTGAATTCTCTCAATTTGTAATATTATTCACATAAAAATTGGAGTTAACAGGGAACACTGCTCCTAAATCCACTGTGACTGCCATTTATTGGGCTATCGTCATATAGATACTGTTGTGGTCATCAGCTTTCTGTTTCTTGAGATTTAGTTAATTGGAATATGATTACCAGGATGGTTTCATTAAGAGTGCTCTGTTTACCAAGATTCATTCTGCTTACAGGGCTCCGAGTTACCAGTTCTTGTCACATTAGCCATTTCCATTCTATTCATAGACAACTTTTCAGTTCTTTGTAAATTCCCTGGACAGTGTTCATCCATCCCAGAGAATTGGTTTGATTTCTGGCAACAAAAAAATAAATCTAATTCTTACACAAATCAACATCAAAATTACTTTTAATTTTTTTTTCCCTCTGACACATTTCACATTCACCTGTTCCGTATTTTTAACGCACTTTGTGCCTTCAGCCCACCTCATCCTTGTACATTTCACACACATTTCCACAAGATAACAAATCAGCACTAGTGAGAAAGAAATTAACAATTAACAGGTATTGAAACAGCTCAGATATCCCTCTTTACCCGAGCTGTCATCCCAGTCAGAATAGTGTTCAAGTACCTGAGAGCTGACAGCATTGGTCTTATGTGCAATGGCCTTTCGGGAAATATATAGGAATTTATTGTACTTTCCTATGAGAAAGTGGGGAATTCAATGTTATTAGACAGTTCTCACAACAGGTTATGGCATTTTCCAGTTAACTGCTCTTATATTATTAATCAATTCCACCTATTGCCCTCAGAATTCAGCTCTTTACATCAGGTAGATATTCCAGCCGCCCAGTTAAATCTCCTGTTCACCAGCAGTGACTGGAGAGGAATGGCATGTACCAACCTTCCAGTGCAAGGGGGTTTGTGTAGAGATGCACAGGATAGGGAGGGCCAGATAAATGGAGGGGGTGGGAATGACTGGAAGAGGCAATTTAACAGCCCTCACATTTAACTACACAAAAGAATTACAAATTTTAGTTACAAATTACAGTTCCTTTTGTTGCAATATTAAATTTCAATAAAAGGAGGAGTGTGGGAATTGATATTTTTAATGGTGGTGGGTTGTACAGAGTACTATGGACTACTGAATCTTTACACATCCTGTGGTAATATCCTACAGAATTGCACGATTCTAGATTGCCTCAAGTGTAGGGTCTGGGGCCTGATTTTGGCCTTGAATTCCTTGCCTGAAGATGCACAACTGCTCCTATTACCGAAAACCAGGTCCAAACATTCCCACTTCCAGATAAATAAGATCCCTCCACAACAAAACACCAGGGCATTTTAAAGTCTAAACTGATCAATTGGACTAAATTTCTAACCAACATTGGACATGGGTACTCTCACTCTACAGTGACCACAGGGCCAATACACTCCTGGGTTGGCTGCAATTATTCAGGTTGATTGTATTTCATTCAGAAACTGTGGGTCTTAAATGTTGCCTTCAAAAGAGACAGGAGTCCCATTTATCTACCAGATTACACAGACTCTGGTTGACTGGTAGGTGGATGTAGGGAGGTCAATGTACACAGGCAGGGAAGGAGGTCTATGAGCAGATTTTAACATAATGGGGTGATTTGCAAAAAAGTTAAAACCAGATTACCAGTGAGTCATCTCCGAGCACCTCTTGTTCTACGTACTCAAATAAGAAACGATTACAGAGAAGCAGCCACTTTGGGCAGTAACTCAGGGTATTTACAGAATGTACAGGTCACTCCAGCTGCCTTATGACAGCCACCATCTCATCGGGGGGAGCAGTGTTGATTTTTCATCCAGTTTAAAACAGTCTGGAGTCTCCACAGGCTCCTAGTTTCGAGTCCCACTTTCCACCAGTTAAAAGTTACAGGTGTCGGGGGCTAGGGTGCCCATTGTGATATAGTTTCTGTTTGATATGCACCATATTCCCTGCTGAGTCCTCGTACTGCCGGTGGGAACGTCTCCTAAAGTCCTTCAGATTACATAACCTTGGGATCCAGGACCAGGAATTATCTGCAAAAGGGAATGAAACAGCATCTTAGAGAAGTGCTTATATGTGTGTACATCAGCAAAATTTACCCTCGCACCCAGTGCCCGAACCATCCTCCCTCAATCCGGATTCACTTCTCCCAGTGCCCGAACCACCCTCCCTCAATCCGGATTCACTTCTCCCAGTGTCCGAACCACCCTCCCTCAATCCGGATTCACTTCTCCCAGCGTGAGTCTCACTGAATCCAATCCAGCTCAACACAGCATGAGGTCTGGACAAATCAGACTGACCAAGACAAACCAATCACAGGTTTTAATGCCTTAGAATTTCGATGAATCTAATCCCCAGCATCTGTTCAAGCCTGATTTCTGAATCAAACGGGCCCCAGTGTGGGTCAGGGTAGGGGAGAGTTAAATTGGTGAACCCAAAGGATTTAGAAATGAGGGTAAGTTTTTGGTGCAGACACACGTACATTCAAAAAGCTGGCCCACCTCCTCACCACCTTCTCGTCAATGGCCCACTCACCGTAACGCCGGCTTGTCCTCCAGGCCCTGACAACACAGTGAAGGACACCGTCCATCCACACCAGGAACCAGCTGATACAGAAGCCCAGCAGCAGGCCCAGCATCAGGTCAATCTCCTGCTTTGTCACATTGTCCGTCACAAAGTAATTTTCCGAGGAATCGACCACAGACTGATCAGCATCATAGGGAATTACATAGTGAATGTGGTGCCTAAAAGAAAGTGGGGGAGAGAGTTAGAGGTAGACAAGACTGGAAGAGCAGACAGACAGTGCTTAGTGAGCTGGGATAGGGCTGGTGGAGTGGAGCGGGTGGGGGCATGTGGAAGAGGGAGGTGTGGAGCAGAAGTGGGGAATTCTAACCTGGGGGAAAGAGTCTGAAAGGAGGGAAGAGAATGAGGGAGGGAAAGGGAGAGGCTATTGGGGGGTGGGGTGGGGTGGGGTGGGGTGGGGTGGGGGGGGGGGGAGGGGGACGAGAGTAGGGGGAGAGGGTAAAAAAAT